ACGCTATACTTTGCTTCATGTGAGAAATTCTAAATCAATTGTAAGGAAATACTTTAAAAAAATCTTCCCAATATAGCAATAAAACTATCAAACTAGTTCAATGAATTTACATTATAAAGAATCAAAAATTCTTTAGTAACTTAACCTTTCAACCATTTCTATTATACTCAGAGATAAAAAAAGTCTAATTTAGAGGTATAATAAAAAGAATTTTGGAATTCAGTTCATCTCTGAACTGCAATGCAAAAGCACTCATATGATTGAATCGTTTCAACAGTTTACGCATGCAGAATAAGGACGTAAACAAATACAAGAGGTTGCTGATGGACAGATAGCACAAAGATTAAATGTTTAACCATTGATCAAAGAGATGAATTTCCCGCAACTGACAAAGAACTGCTTTAAAACATAACCATATTATGAAAGCTTCTGAACTTCACATATCAACAATAACAGAAACCAACAAATTAGACATCCGCTATTTTTTATCCATAAAAATGATCGATTTCTTGCATCTCCATTTCTCCTGCTATTAGCATATTACTCTATGTCTTAAAAAAAATTTCTTGAAAAAAAAGCAATTGGAAAAAAATATGAAGATAGAACCAAACGATTTCGTCGAGAATTTTCCTGTTGACCTAAAATCTGAATTTCAGTAAATATTGGAAGAAGCCAAACAGAGATGCAAGAAATATTTTTACCGCCGGTTCGAAACATTTTAATACTGCAAGTTTTTCTTTTAAATACAATATAGAAGGACGCAAAATGAATAAAAAACAACACAACAGCTGAAATTATTAGAAATAATTTAACCGAAAATTTAGGAATCCTTCAAATGTTTGGTCCAATTATCAATGTGCACGTTAATGAAATCAGTTATTTTAAAAGTATTATACTGCCTTTCAAATCCTGAAACAAAACATTGCAAAAAACTTCAGGAAAATGCTGAAGAGTAAAATAGTCATCGACCAATGTCCTCCAACATAATATCCATCAACAGTTATTTCAATATGATTCATCATCCAATAACAATATGATTACGCAGTCAATGTTGAACACAATCATACATCACTTTTGCAATCATAATTCCCAATATCAACTGCTCTATTATTTCGTTTCATCCATTAATGAAAATGTTAGGCTAACTATTGGCTCACAACGAACAGCAACTGGGATGAGGAATTCCAAACTTTACATGAAAAAGGAAAACCAGCTGACATTGGGAAGGACACGAGGAGACAAGTAAACTAATAAATAAAAACGAATACATCCAACTAAAATTCTGAATTCATTTCTATGCAAACTGTTTTAAGCATTTCTTAACCAGTTATTTGCGCTTACCCGCTCTAATTGCTTGGAATCATAAGCGCACGTTTATGCTACACCAAAAACCTGGTTGAAACACATATGACAAAGTGTTTTACACTATTCCTGCAGCAAACCAATCAATGGAATGCTTCTCCTATATATATATATATATATATATAGAACACAGGCACTCCGGATTATGACCGCGATCTTCTAGAATATCTATCTCGGTGATGCCTTTCACTAGATCGTCTCCTTTCACGGCTTCGTGAACGTGTTCTTGAATGCCGTTCTTGAAACCTAAAAAACAGAAAAATATCATTACATCATGCACCATCATATTGCATTAGTATAAACTTCTGCTCGTATTATTTCAATCATATATTAAAATAATACCTTCGGCTTCTTTTAGTGAGTGATCGAGAGCTTGATTTCAACCTTTTGCGACTTCTTGAACGACGTCGTTTGTGATAAGACTCTCTGCTGCTTGATCTTCGACGATAATGTTCGGGAGTTCGAGATCCACTTCTATCACTACCCGATCTAAAACACTTATCTTGGTATTCTAACATAAATGCAGATAGATTTGTCCAATTTTAATGCGAACAAACCCATTTTCAAAATTAAATTCTTTGAATGAACTTACGCATCTAATGTGTTATCAGCGGCTTTTTTCGTCGAATCTTCCTTACTACCTCCGCGTCGTCTGAAAAACTCAAAAGCGAGAAATTTAAGAGAGACTGGACAAGTTCAATATATTAAAACGCAGTCTTCTCACCACTCAATATATTTCTTGAAAAAAGTCGAGTGGTCAAATGATTAGAGAAAAATTTTATAATCAGAATCACTCATTCGACAAAAAGTGCACCAACATATATAAAACATCTTTTTTACAAAAATTTCAAAGGAAAAACAGTAGGCTGAAATGTATGATAAAAGATTAAAATGAATACCGTTTCTTTGGACGCTCTCTACTTCGTGATTTTTTCCGCATATGCTGCTTTTTTGACTCGCTAGTACGTTTTTCCTTCTTGTCTTTTTTATTGCCTCCATCGCTATTAGAATCTAACTTCTTCTGACCTGGAAACATATGACTGGACGTTTGAGATCGGTCTATATTATTCCTTTTTTGAGCAGAAAATAAATTAGATGTAGCATGCAACGAAAGCTATTGTATGTCACATAAAACTGGACCAATAAACTTCCGAGAACTCTGACATTATGTTTTCCACGTTTTCAGTCCTACTGAGAGATAAACGAAATAATATATGTTTTCTGATGCGATTTGAACAGTACTGAATGAACGATACTCCAGCATTTCAAACTAGTTATCTTTCGAAACAGTGACTGTTAAAATGAAAACAGAGAAATTATCAAAAATTAGGAGCCTCGAAATCTTACCTATTTCTCTGCATGCATCATTTTCACTCTTTGGAAGTGCAACACGTGACGAGTCGTCATCACCATTCTTCTTTTCCTGGACAGCAGTTTTTTTCTTTTCAACACCTGAAAATAAAAATTTCCAGTTTAGCCATATCTATAAATACCGTGATAAACACGTAAAAATAGTATGGAAATTAATCCATACCCAAAAATCCATGGGTGCCAAACCTTCTGAAGTGCGAGTTAGCAAAAAAAATGCATATCGAAAAATATTGTTTCTTCTTATTCGTAAAAAACCAAATGTTTCTTAAAATATCCCTCGGTTTTTATTAATTTCCGTAAATTAAACATTTTTTTGTTTGAAAGTTAGAAAGGTGGCACCCACGGGACGCAGTTTATCCTTCGCTTCCAACTGAAGATGTATATGTATTAGTGAGGTGTGTCACGTGGACTGAGATACATAGTAATACCTTGGGAGGATTCTGTAGAAGAGAATCCATCATTGCTACTTAACTTGGCCTTACTCTTAGCACTCGACGATAGTACTGGAAGAAGTGGTACATTGAACAAAGTATCATCTTCATTACTATCACCATTACCATCACCAATAATAGTTGACTTCTTCAAGAATTCTTCGTCCTTCGTTTTATTCGTCGATTCGTCCAATTGCTTCACGTCTGCTTCCTCACTCGACTCATCATCACTTTCAGCACCTGAATTGATTGCAATTTTAAACTGATAATTGAAATAATAGATTTGTGTATAACGTTAGATGAGAGATCGATAAATGCAGGGAGGATTGAAAGCTAGGACGATTGAGCTTGACGAAGGTCATAAGTCGTACCAAATGAAAACAAATGACAAACAAACAAACTCGAACCGTCACACTAGCTGTATGCTCAAGGTTGAAACAACAGACGTTTGTAATGATTTTTTAATTCAAATCGACTGCTTAATTTCATTAAAAAAAAGAATGTGAAATGGAGAACAGCATCCTAAGAGTACAAATACTGACCACACATTCAACAGTATTTTAACTTTGATTGGCAGCCAATTTGGACAGCGTCTCAGGAACGTATCACCTGAGTATGATCCAAAATAATGAATACTTATAAACGGCTAGTCAAAAACAACAGAAAGGCAGCACAAAATATAGTAAAAGCTTACCAAGTGTACACAAAGCGGCGAGAGCCGAGCTTTGGGCGAGAACTTTTGGCTGGGCTAAACATATATTCAGTTTGATTAATCGATCATTATCAAAATCGAAATTCCGGCGTTATATATAGAAGTCGCGTGAAGAAAGTGACTTGTATGTTAGTTTTTAAATAAATATGAGTAATATAATCTGTTACTTTGGAAACTGGGGTAGTTTAAATGAATATGAGTAACCTGTTATTTTTTTACTCCGACCATTGTTGCCCATGCAAAAATCAAAAAATGTAGAAATGGTTGCAGGAACAATTTCAAGTGACAAATGACCAAAAAAAGAAGTCGTGAGCTATTTAATGAATGTTAACTTTCAAATTGAAAATGTACCAGAACGTTTAGCAAATTCGATCTGTTCTCTAGCAATACGGCTCAATTCATCATCTGTTGTTTCCAGCAAAATTTCAGTCATGAAACGCCGCAAAAGCATAAGCTGCAAACAAGTTAATAATAGTAATAGCATAGAAAAGTCAGGAAGACGCATTTGTTTCCTTGGTGTGTCATAGATTCATTGACAATCACAAAACCTAGCCTAAGAATCAGATTAGTACATTTTATTGCAAAAATTTCACAAAGGAATAGTATGTCACGCTTAATGATAACATGAAACACAATTGGATATAACAGTTAGCGAAACAGCAAGATGCAGTATGTATTATAACAAAAATAAAACATTTAATAGTACAAGTGTAATACATAATAAAATTCAATGGACATTTTCTTTCATCTTTATGCCAACCCTTTTTAAGAAGACCATGGAAGCACGTTGAAATATTTAGATACTTACGGCATCTTCTCGTGTCTCTTCCTCAGTTCGATAATCAATTTCTGTTGTATTTTTAGCCGGTTCCTGTTGCTTTTCCAATTTCTTTTTTTGGAGGAACACTGGCTCTCCATCAAGTTTGACTTTTTCTTTTACATCCTCCGTTCCATTTTCATCTTCACTACTATCAGAATCCTAAAATTCCCATTAAGTACAATGAAACGATAAAAATTTTATAATATAAATTTCAAACCAATACGTTTTGTAATAGTCAATAACCATGAACTCACAAATTTTCCCAATCCTTTAGAAGCACGACGAGCTTTTGCTGCTTCTTCGGCTGCCCGTAACTTAGCTTCTTTCGTTTGTTTCTTTTGCCTTTCTTGTTCAGCTTTTTCTAAACCTTCACGGATCCATGCTGGCAAAGCTTTCCGTGTCTGTTGATCTGAAAAATGTGATTTTATTACTACTGGAGAATACTACACTAACATTAACCAATGGTATTATCACTTGTTTCAAAGTGCGGGCACGAAGAGCAACAAGAAATAGATAAAACTAACCGATGAAAGGCATAGAGTGAGAGTTTGACGGAGAATCACGACGTGAAGTATGATACCAATTCGGTGGTGGGGCCCAACCAGGACCTGGTTTAAGCCAGTGAGCCATAGCACCTTCAGGAACTGCTTCTGAATCATCTGAATCATTGTCACGCCGACCACTTTTCTGCTTCTCATCCCACTCTTTGTAATAATGTGAGTACTGGAAAATAATTATTCAAAATATGATGATATCCAGCTTATCCGAGTCTTGGCTTATAGTGATTTATTATCATATGCTCATAGTCAATCTATCTTATAAACTACTGTTTAACTTATCTCAATGAGATACTTGTTCTACACATGTTATAGTAAATGAAAAATTGATAGATAAAACTGGACAGAACATATTAAAAATAATGCAAATTAAAACTTGCCTCACCCCCTTCCTCTTCGTCAACACTCAACTTTGCATCACCGTAAGGGGGCGCCGGTGGAAACGGACCAGGTGGTACGGGAGTGACGCCCATCCATGGTGGAACTGGTGGCATGAAAGGAGGAAATGCTCCACCAGTTGGAGGTCCGAAATTATTTGGTGGTAAGGGTGGTATCCAACAAGGCGATGGTGTTGCGAAATTTGCATCTGAAAATTTCGTAGATAAATAAAGCTATGTAGAACTAACAACGCGAATATCCAGGCAATATCATACAAATGCATACGGTTTCATTAAAGTCTTTAAATTTACGCAAGCAAACAATATAATTCGAAAACGTACCAACAGGCATAGTAGGCAAATACCCACCAGGTGGCAAAAAAGACCCATTTACCGGTAGTCCATCGGGTGCCGGTGGCGGATGCGACGATGGTAGCTCCTTGTTTGGCGGTGGCGGTATGGAATCATCCGATGTTACCGGAGGGACTTCACCAGCATCTCGCATCTGCATCCATTTTTGTGCTAACTGCGCCCAATTCACTGCAATTTATGAATAAATACGAAAAGTTAATTCAGAAACACATACATTACAAGGTGCTTAAATTCGTGCTATCTAAAATTAATTTATCCAGAAGCGTTTTAGATAATAGAAGATAATAGCAAAGTATAAAGCATAAATACGTTTTACGTTAGCTATGTAAAACTAGTTCAACAAATCTACGAATATAACAAATGTAAAAAGATAACGGATGTTTCAGATATTATGAAAGCATCCCATTATCCTCATTTTCTAATCTCTATCCTACCAGTCTTTGATGTCTGAAATAGCCAAACTCAGAGATGAATTTCAAAAAAAAATTAATGGAGACAACTTCACATTCAGTTTTGTAATTTTGAAGTTTTCCAACAAATTTTAGATTGAAATGACCAGTGAATCTAATTCGATCTGTTTTTTTCTGTCATACTTTTGTCATATTTACCTTCCGAATTTGGCATATTTTGGTAATATGATGCATCCAACCATTTCGCATTATTTTCTGCCATTTTTATGAACTAAGAATATATCACGTGATCGCATGGATTTGCACGTGTGTCCTTCAATTAAAAAGATTTTCTTAAATTAAATTTCATTTAAATAGCTAATTACAACAAATATATGATTCGATTTAAAACACCGTTATCTGGATAGCTTTCAGCGTCGTAACGTTAACTACTCATTTAAGTAGCAAGCACATTTGCCATACAATTCAGTGAAAAATAGAAGAGAAGATAAAAGAAGAATGAGCAAGAAAACATGAAGGGAAAAAACATGAAAAAGTAGTATAGAATGACAGAACAAAGTACAGATGAATGGAAATGATAAATGACAAAAAGTGGGCAAAGTAGACTAATTAGTGTTTAAGTTAAAACAACCACTCCAGGAATTTCTAAAAAAAAACTTTCACCTTCAGTTGTAAAAGGAACGGGTATGAAATATTAACTTAGAAGTAAGTGTAAAATTAAAAAGGTAGTTCCACAATGATAAAGGACCAAAAGCAAGAATTAATAAAGAGTGATATGATCAAATTCCGGATAAGCTTGCAAACTAAAAAAACCAAAAAAAATGTCTGGTTTTGCTAGTGTTAGCAGATGAATGGCTAGTTATTAATCAAAAATGCATCATAAAATTAGCAATCGATCCAACAATGAAATCTCATCAGGAATCTAAAAATAATGCAGTGACATGGAAGTAAAGGTTGTACAGTGGAAGAGATACGGTGAGTTCCGTGTATCCCAAAAGCTCACTTAAGCTTATTTTCTTTCAAGTTCATCACCGATTGAACAGATCGATGCTCGGATATGGGTGAGATAGTTTGAAACTTCAAGCCCATGAAAGAATCCCAACCCCTCACTTACGCACCCTTCACCAATCCCTCATCATATCATCACCCAACCCATCTCTGAATTGCCCTTCGCGACAACTAATTCAACCACTCTTCTCACTCGCAACTTAAATACACTATCTGCCATTTTTTCACTCTCTGCACTCTCCATCACACATACATTCTTCCCTTTGACAATTTTTTGTACGCTTGATGATTTCTCGTTCACTTCCAATTTTTCTCTTTTGCCTAAGGGTAAGAGATGCTGC